AGTACCGTGTCATTTTTTGCTGCTGAATTTTTACGAATTATCCTGTATATGGCAGAGCACATGTTTTTCTTGCCTTGTCTGGAGCAGAACTGTTTCCAGCTCGAGGTCATTGATTCCATCATGAGGTGTTTATAATCAGTTTTAGCTTGTATGTAGTCTTCAATTACATACAGTTTCCGTCTTTCGTTAGCATATTTTATTTTTCTCCTTTCCTTTATTACCTCCCTCTTTTTCTCCTGTAGTTCTTTATTCCACCAGTGCGTCTTTTTTGGTATTTACCTCGCTAATAAGGGTAAAGTATCTTCACAAGATTTATAAATACATGTGGTATGTGTGTTGATGCACTGTTCTAATAATTTTGGGGTACTTATGGAATCGATGAAGTCATGTGTGATCTTAGAATTGTTTAGTTCTCCTCTCAGTCGCATTAAGAACGTTTCCCAGTCTGCCTTGCTTGTGTTATAAATGGGCGTTGAGATTCTTTGATGTGTCATTATATTTGATTTTTTGATATTTATCTCGAAAGTGATCGCACGGTGATCTGAGAGTGTAACTAAGTTATGGTTCACTTTCCAGTTGGTTATTTTATGCAGTAGAGCTGGCGTGCATGTGGTAACATCAATGATGCTGGAGTATTCTCGAGCCCTACTACATACATGAAAAGTTGGTGTTTGTCCTTCATTTAATATTTGTAGGTCTAGTTGTGCTAAGGTCTCAGCTATAACTACTCCCCGCTTATCCTCCACATTGCACCCCCCACCAGGGACTTTTGGCATTAAAAGAATAACGTGCTAGGTGTCGAGATTTTCTATGAATCTTGTAATTTTGCAGAGATCTTCTTCAATATCGGCACCTTCCTCGAGATATACATTAATTATAGCTATGCAAAATTCATTTATACTAAGTTTACATACAACTAAATTCTCTGTTACCAGTGTCTTTTTGTATAACTCTATGCTTACAAGTTACATGAGCCTTAGCTCCAACATATAGCTCTTGGACCATTAAAATTGGGAAAACCCTGCTGCATAGCAGCTTGTATACTTTCTTGTAGTGCAGCTTGTCCTCTACCGAGGTTTATTTGAGCAATTTTGATTCTCTCTGGACTGCTGTCTTTTGTCTGTTCTCTGTTGTTCTTAGCAATAGGATGTTAAAGATCTTGCAATTCTGTCCCACCGCTGCCATTCAGGGCATTCAGAGCTATAGGCTAGATGAGTACATGCCCAATCATTTGCTTTCTTTTTGATACAATTTGTGCATTTTGGAGCTTCATTTTTATTGCAACACTCTCGTATATCGTGTGGCTTGGCGCAGTAGGCACAAATTGCTGTATCGGCCTTACAGTCACTAGCTCGATGTGAGAATACTATGCAGCGGTAGCACTGAATTAAGGGCGACTGGTCCACTGCTGGGACGATCTGGAAGCCAAGCCTTACTCTCTTATCTTTAAGTCTTGACCAGACTTGCGGACTGACTTCCACAATTACGTTGTTTAATGTGTTGGTACGGCCTTTGACCCTTCTCACGACTTTTATGTGCATTTGTGAGGTTGATATTTCTTTTAGCAGTGAACCATTTTGTTTCAATACCGCTTCTTCGATTTCCTTATTATTTAGGTCCATGGCGACTCCAATTAATTTTAGAAGGGGATTTTTGGTGGGAAGTTTCTGCACGGTCAGTTTACTTGAGGTACTTTTGAGTTTATCATGAAGAATTTTTCTATCTACTTCGGTCTCGCAGCTTACAAGCACCTTCTGATTTATGGCTTTTTTTTATTTATTTATTTATTTATTAATTTATTTCAATCAACAAGGATCATAGAGTAAAATAACATACATTAACATTTATTCTAATACTAAAATTATAAATCATTACTAATATTAATTATATCAAATGCGTAAGTATTTATAATAATATCGAAAATAAAATAATAATTTAATAATAATAAAATAACATAAATCTATTTCACTCTTACACATACATCATATCCGATTTAATTATATATTAACAAAACCACCAACAAAACTTACCATAATGATATAATACAATATTAGGGTGTTGTATGCCCGCCGCGTATATCTGACCCATAAGGCACACGTATAGAGGGATTGGCAATAGGCCTTAAATAAAATAACTTTTACCTCGGCTGTACAGCGTGAGAACCGACGGGCCAGCATATTGCAGCGGATAGCCAGCGCTCTCCTTTCTCTTTCAATGTCTTTATCATCTTTTAAATCTTCAGTAACAACATGGCCTAGGTACTTAAATGCAGTTACTCGTTTAAGTGCAACACCCCCTAAAGTTACAGGTGGTACAAAATTCGATTTCTTCGTGCCCACCTTAAACACCATGAGCTCACTCTTCGCAACATTATATTTTAGACCATGGGCTTCTGCATAAACCTCACATATGAACAAAAGCCGTCTGAGTGCACAGACTGACGGGCTCAGAAGCACCATGTCGTCTGCGTAACTGATGTTGTTCATGCAGAGTCCATCAGTAGAGCAGCCGACACGTGCACTCCCGAGTCTATCAATCAGTTCATTTATATATAAATTAAAAAGCGTAGGTGAGGTTAATCCCCCTTGTCTCACACCGCATTTCAATCTGTACTCGTCCAACAGTGCACTAGACCACCTTACCTGATTAATTTGATGATCGTACCAATAGCTAAAAATACTAATGTACGAGACGGGTAGACCAGCCTTTCGCAATTTATCCCACAGAATGTCATACCTGACAAGGTCGAAAGCCTTTGAAAGATCCAGGAAGGCTGCGTATACTGGCGTATTCCTTACAGTGTAATACCCCACAGTATGTTTCAGCGACAGTATTGCACACTCAGTTGATAGATTTGATCTAAAACCAAATTGTGCATCGTTTAACTTAATATGTACTTTTAACTGTCTCTCAAGCATACTGTCAAGTATCTTAGCCGCAGTTGTCGCTAATGAAATGGGCCGATAGTAGCACATATCTGAAATATCACCAGTTTTGTTTTTCAAAATCGGAACCACGACCGTTCTCATCAGCTCTTCCGACAAATACGAGTGCCTCATACATAGGGTGAAAAAGAGCGCCAGTAGTCTAGGTAAGTGCGGACCAGCGAACTGAAAGTGCTCGATGCTAAGGCAATCGTGACCAGGTGACTTTCCTCCAGTCATGCCATTTATCAAAACAGCGATGTCCCTGGCGGTGATGCGATCAGGCACATGAGTTGATGCACCAGTGTGGTGATGAACCTCAGCATCGACTTTAACATGTGACTGTAAAGAAGACTGAACCCGGAACTGACTCTTAAAAAGATTGGCTATCTTCGCCGGTTCATTTACACCCCCAACGCTCACCGGGGTACCTGCTCTAGGACTCAACTGCTTAGTATGCTTCCAAAACCCACGAAAATCTTTATTCCTATGTTGATACGCTAGTTTATTCATCTTGATTTGGTCTTGATTATTTTGACAAAACTTAAGTTTTCGTTTAAATACTCTTTTAGATTCCATCATATCATTATAAATATACCCACCATGCGGTTTCCCATGCCAAATCCAATTTAGGAATTTTTGTCGAGCATCCCGGTGAGCATCGCGCACGTGGCAGTTCCACCCTAGTATAGGTCGACCATGCCTTTTGACTATCTCCCGCTCGCGATCACTATCGTAACTGTACTTAGAGGCCTCACACAAAGTATTAACAATGGACATATATAATTTATCTATTACAGATCGATGTGCTAAAACATCACACACACTATCACAACACTGACTTAGTTCATACGGGAAATCGATTTCTCTTAATTTATCGTTACAATAGTTGCTATATATGTCAATTTGGTTTAAATTACGCTCACCCCATTTTACTTTATTATTGATTATAAATTCCTGACCCGACAGTGACCTACGACTAACCACTGTAAGATCACACTGAACCTCTAATGGGAAATGGTCTGACCAATAAACGTCATTATGAATTTTAATTGTAACTACAGATTTCCATGCAGCCTGAGTTGTTAAACAGTGGTCAAGCCAGCTACAGCTACCATGTATATCACTCATAAAGGTATAAGAACGCGAGTCAAATCCTAACTTCATAATATCAGCTGCCAACCAATTTTGTTCTAGACAAAATTTTAACATTTCCTTACCAAACAATGTACCTGGGTGCGCATTAAAGTCTCCTAACACATACATAGTTTCAATATTCTCATTATCTACTATTGCAGATATTTCACTTAAACACTCAACAAATTCTACAAGATTGTCTAGCTCGTCCGTAGGCATATACACATTAAAAAATAACATGAACCGATCCGAAACGCATACTTTAATAGCAATAATACGCTCACTCATACACGGAACTACAGTTACAGAGTCAAACACGTTGTTTTTCCATAGTAAGCCGACACCGCCATAAGGTCGTCCTCGCAATAATCCTTTACTTGTATCAACCGCGGACTTCCCGAAAAAACAAAAATCCTTATTTACTTGACCCAAGTCAGAAATCTCATGGGGCAGAAGCCATGTCTCCTGAAGCGCAATTATATCCGCCCTTTCACTCAAAGACTTTACAAAGTCTGCAGATCTTTTAAAAGATTTACAATTAAAACTTATCAACTTGATAGTTGTATTGTCCCCAGCATCATTATTCATCATTTTTCTTTAATAAAGATAGGTTACTCGATTTAGTTTCATTTAAATTATTCGGCTTATTAAACCTAATATATCTCCGGAAAGATACTCCAGTGGGCCATAGGTTTTCATCCATAAACACAGGTAACTTACTCTTTGGAATCATAAATTTGTAAGCTCCATAGTCTTTTTTGAATTTCATATTTACTTTCTCTAGTCGCACTTCAGTGTTAGTTTTACATTTAATATAATTCATTATGTCATCAATCTTGCAGCTGTTATCAACGTTATAAATATAAAACGGGATTTTTATATTTGCTGCTTTAAATTTGCAGTCTCCGTGTATATCAGCTTTGCCTTTATATTGCTTATTCATATACCCAAATCGATAATATTTGTATGATTCTTTACCTGTTTGATAATATCGTCACAGGTGTTTCGGTGATCAGCAGATTCTACCATTATGTAGAAATCGGGCTTAGCAACAACTTCTGAGTATGATCTAGGTTGTAAATAGGGCTTTACAACTGTCTGCTTCTGTGTGAAAGCTTTCTCGGGTTTGCGCTGTCCATGTATAGAATTATCTTGATTTTTATCTTCCATGTTTGCTCTGTCTATTATTGATTGGGATCTGACCTCATTTCGAAGTCCTTCTATAGCCATTCTGATAGGTGCAGCAGATTCCACCGTAGTGTCCTATAGTTCTCTAGTTTCCCGCCTCAGTTCTTCAACGCTGGCTTGTACTGACGTGATCAAAGAATCAGCAGGGCACTTCCTGAGTTTTGCTATTTCCTGAGAAATTTGGAAGATTTCACTGCTTATATCGATAGTTAGGTACACTTGTCAGTTTGTATCTCTATATTTGGTATATATACACTATTTATTTTACTCTTTCTCCTCATGCCATATGCGGGATATATATATTCTAAAATTATATTTATAATTGTACAACTTATTTAATTGTGACATGTTACTTTGCAAAAGTGCGGCTGGTTCTTACCAAGACAATGGTTTTATTTCCGAACCAGTGATACAAGTGAAACAGTGACTTTCAACAAATATTGTTTAATTTATTATTTTCTTACTCTAAACCTATATATTGTACATTCTGGAGTCATTTACATAAATAAATATACGTCATACAATACAGTCTACATAAGTCCCACTCCTGGGCACAGGCCTCCGCTCATTTCTGAGAGAATTTTAGGGCAAGGAATTGTCCGCCGCACTGAAATAAACATCAGTAAAATAAATTTGCGTATTTTTATACAATTGCGAATTTATTTCCAATCAATCTTATTTTTTACATTAAAATCTATGTTTATTTCTATATGTGAAATTCATGAATGATAAACTTGTATCAATGAGAGATACTCGTAATGTGAGAATGCGAGATTGCGGTAAGTGAAAAAGCTAAGACGTCTGAAATATAAATAAAGTTCATTCTATTAATCGCACATACAGGAGATACATGCTTTAGACATATGGACCCTTTGTGTCATCTTTCAATGTTTAACTATATGAAAGATGAGTTATAACGAAGATGGTTTTACTTTTAATAATTGTTTAATTATTTCCTTTATGGCCAACATTGCGTCTTAAGCCGGTACGTCTAAATCCCCATCCCTCTAAAAGCGGAGCGTCAAGCGCGACTCTCCTAACCGCTAAGCCCCGACCTGTGACGTTATCGCACCCCACTTAAGGTTCCCGAAAATGTTCCTCTCACCCTACTCAACTTATACCAGCTTAGAATTACACCTACCCGAACAAATGCCAAAGCATTTTCAACTGTATGCGAAATGCTAAGGATATATGTAAAATTACTTACTGATAAGTTTTAGCTACAATAATCGAAGGATTTGCTGTTACGTTAACTATAGCGTTCGATACTATGCATGTAATGTAAAAGGTGCCGCAAATTAATGATTTACAACATGAACATTATATATAGTGTCAAATAATACTAAATATACAGTACGCGAGCAACCCGGTTTTGATCCCCGTCACTTTTAAGTGCTGATTTACCACGTGCTCGGCGGTGAAGGAAATCATCTTGAGGAAACCTGAATGTCTGCGAAATAAGAAAAAAAATATTCCGAAGACGTGTGAAGTTGGGGCAGTGCGACGGACATTTCCTTGCCCTAAGCCCTTCTTAGAAATGAGAAGAGGCCTGTGCCCAGCAGTGAAATGAGTAGGTGTATTATAAGATGTTAATTTACTTAACTTTAACACTAAAAATAAAAGTGAACACTTTAAACTCAGAGGCAGAAAGCATTTATGGGCAGTATAGTACTCAATTAACCTCAGTTTAACCACCGATGCCAGGGTTACTGTAATTGTGAATTGCAATTTTACGTCATAATTAACTATGTACTCAGAACTATGTACTAAGAAAAAATCACGAGGAAACCCGTATATCTGAGAAATATAAAAGATGTTCCTAGGACATGTGATCCGCAAACATGTTCTGGAGTAGCGAACGCTTTCCACTCCTCTACATTGTCAGAAATAAGTAGAAGACTGAAAAATGTAAATAAAATAACACAATTTTCTAATTTATATTAAATTAATGACAGAACATATAAATAATAAAAACCGTACAAAGTTTGTCTATAATCTATTTAATCTGTGTAATTATTTTATATAATTTTAAAGACAAAATTTCTAAGTCAGTCGTTGTCCGCTATTACGTGCGTATGTATTATGTATGTAGTATGTGTACAACAACATAATGACTTTTAGAGTTTTAGATTATTTTAATCCTAACCCCGTATCTCTATCCGTATTGCTTTCCAGGTATTCTGCTGTGCGTTCGATTAATTTATGAGTTATTTACTAAAGACATCAAAATGTTGATTAACTACTCACTCAAATGGGAAATTGATCTTATATCACATAAATAATAAAGCCTTAAACTATTTAAAGCGTAGGGTACATATTGGATTAAGCGAAGTTATATTATTCGCTTTACGTAGAGGGAGGAGATCCCAAGGGAGATGATTCCGGGTGACGGGGTGACGTTATCAAAACGGCACAGTTGCGGCGTCTTACCACGGTTAAGCTCGTTTAGTCGCATGAAACGATTACTGGGACCTTAATTTTAATTTCTTAACAGTAAAAATTCTTAACAAATTATTTCTTTTTTATAGAATATGTGGTTGGTGGTTATAAGGTCACAAACAAGCACATAGACCACCTGACGGCAAGCGGATGCTACTCGTATAACTCATAATCATCTGCATCTATCATCGATTGATAGTTACGCTTGTAAGATTACACCATTGACTAGACCATATAGAAGAACAGTGTTGGCTCCAATTCCCCAATTGCTAGATTGAGTAAACTTGTTAACACATTTAGAGATAAAATTGATATATTTTTCGACCCACCTAACAAGCTCCGTCGCACCTTAAGAGACCATCTTTTGTAACATATTATAAAATATGTTCTTTCCTTTTCGCTTCTATATATTTTTATTTGTATTTAGTTATAATTTCTTTTAATTTTTAATTATTTCTTTATCCTAGTAATATAGGTACACAGTCCTGAGAAAGTTATTTGCATGTTGTATCCGCCTGTAATTATTTGTACATTTTAGTTCTTATTGCTTCATTGTATTTATATAGCATGTAAGGAATGATACAAATGTTGGTGGATCAATAAAAAAAAATAATCAAATATAGATGCGTTTTCACGCCTGAGGACTAAGATGGAATGCCTTGTTTTCAGTATATAGGGTCTTCAGCTCTCTGCATTTACCAAATGAAACACAAGCATTTTTCTACTGTTTGTCGTTGGATTCTGTAAGTTCAGAACCGGTCGAGTCGACCCATTCATCTACGTATATAGCTAGCTTAGCTGCAGGCTGCAGCGTGACTCTATCGTATGAAAATCGAAGTAAGAACGTCTAACGTTACGTTTAGTTCACATATATATATACTTAACATTATCTAAAGATGACTTTTCCGTGTTTTATACTTGATCGTTTAAAATGTAAACAACATAAAGTACCTGCATCATTAAAAATCCGAAAGGATTAAATTTGACGTATCAGTTAAATGCATAACATACTCTTTCACTGATTGAATTTACTTTTTCATTGATTGAAACTATTGGCACATGCGATAAGTATTTTAATGAATTCTACCAAATATCCACAGTACTATTAAATTCGAATGACAGATTCCCCAAAAGAGGACTCCATTTAAAAACCGCACTGTTAAGCTATCACTAAAATCGAAAAGTCTAAAACGACTGCAAAACGGTAGACATATTCTTTATAATTTATAGCTTATGTCTTTGACTTAAAGCATTTTATCATGTGGTACGGTGAATATTTTAATACTGTTTCTATAACGCTAAAAGTAGGCGGGAAAAATTGGAAAACCCTGTCACTGCTGAGCGACGTGATAACGTTGTAAGCATGGTGGTTTTTTATTAGGGTTAACCCAAATGCCCTGACTGCAAATTATGTAACATTAAATTTATTTAACAAGGCAAATTTGACACGGTAAATAGAATGTTCTTAAGTAAATTTAAATGAAACTAAAGTCATTTTAAGGGTTGAAAAATAAACCTGCAATTTTTTTTATTTCTTGTAGATTATTTTTGTAATTAGAAGTAGAATTAAAGCGTGTAGAATTTAATAATGTTACTTTACCGTCTATTCAACTTAGTTAATGCCGTTATATAGCGTCCCTTTCCGGTCTCTTTGGGACCAATAACGAGCAGTATTAAGGGTGAAAATTAGTTTGATAATGTGATAGTAAATTTTAGTTTTAAAACACCATGTTTGTGAAGAATAATATAATCATTTTTAAGATTTCAATAATAAACTTTTTGATTTCTTATATTTATATAATACTAGACATTGAATAAACTAATTTTACAAGTTTTGTCGCGTTGTATTTAACTTGTGTTACTTAGTGATTTTTTATATTTACGCAAACACTACACATTTTATTTATTTAATTTTAACTCTCACATCGGAACGTCATCAATCTCCTTAGTCCCCCGTGAACATGGGTGCTGGAAAGCACCTGAAACATCGTGTATATAAAATTAAGCAAATTTAGCGCTATAAAATCCGTAAAAGTAGTTTTATTCAATTATTTTACATATTTACAATTCCCGACGTTTCGGATGCTTTACAGCACCAATAGTTATGGGGGGATTTATTTTAAAAAATTTATAATATAACGTACTAGTTACTATGTACATTACTAATTTTTAACAGCCTTTCCACTATTGGACGTACGCTTTTTTATTGAAGAGAGAGAAAGCGAGCATGCGGCTTATTTGATGGTAAGTATCTACCGACGACAACCGCTCATGAACAATTGCAACACAACAACAACAAGGGTGCGTTGTCGACTGTCGTCCGTTTAAAAATAAGTAGAATCTTTTCTTGAATTTCCCTAAATACCAACACCTTCAAAAAATGTGCTGGTCCGCATTTCTTGAAAGATTTAATCATCTTCCAATAAATATAGTTTATTTCGGGTAATGCTCGCGTAACATTGTGTTAATCAGGAGTCCTTTACGGCTTCCTCAAGCACTCGCACAAACAAGAAAATAGTTATAAGAAAATTTATTTACATTGTATGTATTATTACATATATTGTATTTACATTATGCCTATGAAATATTTTCTAAAATATTTG